GATAAATTATTATATCAAAGATTGCCTAGGATCCCACAGCTAGTAAGTATCCAAAGCAAAGGACTGGAACTCAGGTCTTCCTCACTCTAAATCCAGCACTCTATCTGCTATGCCACTTAGATATTTCTTGAGTAGCTATTGCCTCCATTTAAGGAGAGGGGTCAGGGCAGGCATCTCAGACTCTTTGTTTCCCACCAGGCTGTGGGAATTCTTGGACTTCTCTTTGGAATTCTTTGACCATGATCTTGGGCCAGGTACTTTCCACCCCCTCATTCTTTTTAGCTTTCTTTTGTGAATTGTAAGCTCCTAGAGGGCAGTGATTCCCCACAACCACCACCACCACAGTGTCCAGCACTTAGTATAGTGTCCCTCAGTAAACATGATAAATATTTACTGACTATTTAAGTCTATAGAATACTGTGGGTTATAGGCTTTCTGGCAAAATTCCATTAAAAATCTTCATGAACACAAATGCAAGAAAGAATAGGAAATTTAGAGTTAGGAGACCCGGGCTTGAAGCCCAGATTGTTGTGTACTTTCTATGTGACCTTTGTACAAGTCACTGGGACCTCAGTTTCCTTATCTGTAAAATGAAGCGAGTAACCCTCGATCATAGAACCATAGATTTGGAGCTGGAGGACACTGGAAGTCAGATGGGATGATGCCCTCATTTTATAGATGAGGAAACTGAGGCCTCAAAAAGTGACTAGCCTAAGATAGGTGGTAAGTGGCAGAACCAGGATCCCAGTTCAGTTCTATGTTCAATGATTCTTCATAGACTTTTAAGGCCCCTCCCAGCCCTGAAACCTGTGATCTCATAATTTGTATATTGCTTGTTTATATTGTAATTCTGTTAACTTCTTTTATATTTCTGAATGTTAGAAATCACATTCCCAGGCTACAGGACCTAGAGATGAAAGTGCTGTTATATCATCTTATTATTATACACTTTTTCTTTGTATGCTAATCATAATCATAGCATTTGTATAGTTCATATAAAGTCTGCAAAATCTCACGTAATTGTTACAACAATCTTGGGAGATCCATTTTATAGATGAAGAAACTGAGGCAGGGGTTAAGTGACTGGCCCAGGGTCATACATCTGGGTCTGAGGCCAAATTTGAAGTTGAACCTTCCTGGCTGCAGGTCTCACAGCTAACTGTCTCAACTAACTGTCTCAGCACTGTCTTGGGATTTTGCTTTTGTTTTGACTAAAATTTAAATTTAACCTTTACTCTCCACAGTCCTCTTTCCTGAATTATTTCAGAGTTTTACCAAAGGAGCTCCTATGTATAAAGTTCCTGCTTGTCACTACAGATAGCACGGACATGCATCGTGTTGTTCACAGGGTGTGGTCAATGTACTCTGGGGAGTGGGTCTTAGCAAAGCAGGAAGGCAGTGCAGCTGAACACTCCCTCTCCCTTAAGTGGGAAGGGAACAGGTGTGGCCAGTCACTCTGAGGCAAAGGAACCAGCATTTCCAGTCATACTGAGGCTGTGTTCAGTGAACAGGTTTAGAGAGGAGTGTGTACATTGCTGTTGTTTGTTTAAACCACTCTGCAGAAGAGCTCTGGAGCCTTCCTCAATAAGACAGCCAAACTCCTGTGATCTGTGGTGGGTGCGTGCATGTGTGTTTCCATTTCTGTGGTGACTTAGGACCTCAGGACCAGCAAGAAGTTCATCCATTCAGGACACTACCATGCCTTTTCCTATGGGGAGTGATTAGTAGGGCTTAATAACATGACAGTGAAGAGAGATCAGCAGTGAGAGGAGAATGGAATAATGAGATTTGGGGAGCCTGCTGCAGCAATACACATAGATGAGTGGGAAGTCTTTTACATATTAAAAAAAAATAACAAAAGTTATCCTTTTTTTATCCTTAATAAAAATCATCCACTAAAAAAACCCAAAAAACAAAAAACCAAGGAAACTGGAATGGGTTTTATTTATCTTGTAAATGGAAATGAGGCTGGGAAAACCAGGAATTATTTTCTTTTTATTATTTTTTATTTGTTTGTTTTTTTGGTGAGGCAGTTTGGGTTAAGTGACTTGCCCAGAGTCACACAGTTAGTGAGTGTTATGTGTCTGAGGCCAGATTTGAGCTCAGGTCCTCCTGACTCCAGGGCCCATGCTCTATTCACTGCTTCACCTAGCTGCCCCTATTATTTTTTATTTGAAGGGAAAATTTTAAAATGGAACAAAGTTAGGAAGGCTATTTCTGTTTTAATTTTAAAAGCAAAGAAAATTGCATGTCAGGAATATCCTGTCTGCTCCCCACTTACTCTCTCCAATCTACTTTTAGGGGTCATGTCCTATATGCTGACAAACACGCAGGCCAGAGTCCCAAAGGACTAGCTCTAAGTGGACTGCCAAAATAAAAGCAGCTTCAGTACAGGGCGATTGAAGGGTCTTTCCTTGTTACCCATTTGCTGACTGCTCTGCCCTACATTCCCCAGTTCCTGCAAATCACCCATTTGGTCCCCTAATGACAATTTGCCGAGACTCCTAAGCTTCTCACCGTTTGCATGCTTCTGAATCCTGACTTCCTGTCCTGTCCCTTCTGACTCATGGCTACCCTAACTTTTGTACTCCATGAATGTGCACTGTTTTTGAGGGGCCTGCTTCTTGCCTGTACACAGACCTGCTGCCACAGACACCAAGGAAGAGATGAGAGTTGACAGAATGTTGAAAAATAGCAACAACGTAGAGAAAAGGAAAAGGAAAAATCAGAGTGGAGACCAGGGGACGGGGTGTCGTACCTCTGTGAAAAGAGGATCTGGGCTCTCTTCCCTACTCCATTACTTACTACTTACTCTCCATGGCCAATTCCCTTTTCCAAGCCTCACTTTCTCCATTTGCAAAATGAGGAAGTGGAACTAGGCAATTTCTAAGGTTCCCTTCCAGCCTTAAATCTTATAAACCACGTTTTGTCTAGGCTATCCTCCAGGCCTGAAATGTTCTCCCCCCTCCCAGCCTCTGGAAACTTCCATCCAGCTCCCTTTAAGGCCCCCTTCAAGGACTACCTCCTACATAGAAACTTTCTTGATCCTCAGTCACAACTATTCGTCATATGTTTCGTATTATCAGTGAATGTGTTGTTGCTTCTTCCTAGTAAAAGACGTCTCATGAGTTTTATTACAAATTTGACTAGCTAAAGCCAATAATCCAACGCGAATCAAAGATGGGCTTTATTACACTCAAGAGTGTGGTGATCCCAACCAGCCATTGACAGGGAATGTGTCATTCATGATTCAGTCAACAATATCTGGCACACTCCCACCAAAGAAGGCACTATACCCTATGAGCAAAGCAGAATTGCAGTAGCTCAAAAGAAACATGAAATGTACACATTTTGAGACATCCCCACCCCAAATGTTCATATGGACTATTTGTGCCTGGACTGTGGTAGAGTTTTCTAGGCCACAGGCCAACACACTGTACCTTGACCCCAACAGAGTGATGTCATTTTGGTCCTCTTTGAGAATGAAAGATAACCAAACAAAATTCATACATTATTTAAAACAAAGAAAAAAAAAGATGGCTATTCATTAAAACACAGATGTTCATACAAAGAAAAAAAATGTTTGCTAAAGGAAAAACTTCTATTTGCTACAGGAAATAAAGGAGTTACCTTCTGAGAATAGCTAACTTTACTAAACCAAAAAGAACTGCCTGCTAGTCCAGACAAGGGAGGACAATCCAAGGACTCTGGAATCCTTCTCCTTTAGCAACCAAGTCTTTTCTGTAGCCATAAAAAGAAGGAAGAAGACATTGAAGGACACCAGCTGCTGCAGCTGGTCTTGTAGTTCATAAGGGATGACATTCAGAAAAAATGGCTGATATAAAACGAGATGGAATCAGTTACATTTTCCAAAAAAAATTCCCATTCGACAAATGTAAGCACCTTAAGAGCAAGGACTATTTTGTTTCTGTCTTTGTATTTCCAAAGCCTGGAACAGAACCTTGGAAACATGAGAGGGACTTAAAAAACTGTCTGTTGAACTGACCCACAAGACAATTATTTCTGTTTTTTTTGGGGGGGGGGTTGGGAGGCAATTGGGGTTAAATGACTTGCCCAGGGTCACACAGCTAGTAAGTGAGGTAAAATTTGAACTCAGGTTCACTGCGCCACCTAGCTACCCCAAAGACAACCAGTTCTAAGGAACGTGGAAAGGGGCAGTTTGGGAAAACTGGTTTCATAGAAATGTTAGGCTGAAAGAGACTTTGAGGTCTTCCAGAGGAAACTGAAGGCTAGAAGGGAAGATGATTTGGCCAGTGTGGAAGCATCTTGTGAGTAGAGATTGTTTCCTTCTTTGTACTTGTATTCCCAGTGCCTCGCATAATACCTGGCACACAGTAGGTCCTTAATAAATGCTTATTGATTGATAACTAACCAGTGTTTGTGTCAAGACTAGAATACATATCTTCTGACATTTACACTAATGATCTTTTAGATAGATATCACTGTGATGGAAAAAGCACTAGAAAAAGGAACCCGGACTCAGATCCTGGCCCCAACGCTTATTAACTATGTGTCTCTGGCCAAGTCAATTCTCTCTGAACCTCATTTTCCTTATCCATAAAATAGAAATAATAATATTTGCATTAGAGGGCATTGCACAACGGATAAAGTGTTGGACCTGGAATCAGGAAAACGTGGGTTCAAATCCAGCCTCTGACACTCTTCTGGGCAGTTTACTTCCCCTCTATGACCCTCAGTTTCCTCTCCTGTAAGATGGGGCAACAATACTTGTCATTCCATCCACCCCCCCACATACACACACTCGACCTCACAGGACTACCATGAGACTCAGACGCAATAATGCTTGTAAGGTATTTTTGCAAAATTTGAAGGAAGACGCGCAGTTTGGCCAGTCTTATGGACCACTCCCCTGGGCTGTTGTGAAGAAAGCATCTTTAAACCTTATAACCTTAAAGAAATGTGAATTATTATTCTATCATGCTGTATCTCATATATTAAGGTGGATGTGGATACCCAGGTTAGATAAGGAAAAAAAGGAAAAGATGAAAAAACCAGTACAAACAGACGATGAAGGGCTGCATGACACTCCTTCTGTGGGAAAGAGAAGCCCATATCCTTTCCTAGTCGCCAACCTTCTTCCAGAGGAACCCACTGGAAGAGCTCAGATAATAGAGCATGAGAGACCAAACAGGCATCTCACCTGAGTTCATCTAACCCCTGGCCAGTCAAAGGGACTCCAGGCAGGGAATGGGCCATGCTTCCCACCATATTTTGCCTGGCAAAGACTTCTATAAGCATGCTGCAAACCCTGGAGTGCAGGGCGGTATAAATGTGAGTCAGTATTACTTCTGCTAAATGATACCTTGAGTACTTCAAAGTCCTGGAATCTCCGAATGTAGGGACAGAAGAATGGATCATAGAATGTGGTGCCAGAAGGGATCTTAGGGATCATCTAGCCCCATGACTTTTTTTTTTGTGCTTACAGTACAACATTTTTTGTTGGTAGAACTAAGGCACGTGGAATATTTGAGTTGTCAACATGAATACAGTTAGGGGACTTGCATATGTGCAGTTTCCCTTCAATAACAGCAGTTGTTTTTGTTGAGTTCTTTACAAGTTCAAGGAGACATGGGAAGGGAAGGGAATAAGCATTTATATACAGCCTACTGTGTACCAGGCACTTTACAAATCTCCCAACAACCTTGTGGCATAAGTGCTGTTGTTATCTTCATTTTACGGTTGAGGAAACTGAGGCAAATAAGGGTGAGTGACTTACTCAGGGTCACACAGCTAGTTAATGTCTGATGGAACTCAGGTCTTCCTGACTCTAGTTTAATGCTCTCTATCCACTGACCCACTTAGCTGTCTCTGACAAGTTTTTTGGTCTGACATGTTTTCAGATGAATGCATGTGTGTAATAGGCAAGTTTTGTCTATTTTGGAAATACTTTACTTACCACACTATATATTCTAGGTAAGTGAAATTTATGTTAAAATTATTAACACATTTTCTTTTATCTGCAACAACTTAACACCCAACATTCCATAGCACACCTTAGTGAAACTGGGAAGACACTACTCTCTTCATTTCACTGAATCCATTCAAATCAGTGAAAAGGCCACACTTAAGGATTTAGAAAGCCACATGTGGCCTTAAGGCTGAAGAGTCCACTGCCACCCCTTCCCACCATCCTCCGGCCCAAGGTCTCGTAGCTAGACTAGAACTCATGTCTTCTGACTCCTAGGCCAGTACTTTTCCCACTATACTAAGACGACCTTGGTTCTGAAAAACTGATCTGAGATGGATGTCCTCTGGAGTCCCTTCAGATGCTGTCTGCCACTTGTCCAAAAGAACCTATCTGGGCAGGGATAATGAAGAAGCCCCCAAAGTTTTAGGGTAACTTACGGGTGTGGTATTTTCCTTTTTCTGAATCTCAACCATATATTTGAGATCGTCAATCAGAAGGTGGTCTGAAGGGTAACTGCTGTCCCAAGTCAGGATCAAGTTGTATTTTGGAGTTCCTGAAGAGAGGACAACGTTTCCTGGGGCTCTTGGCTTCACTGTCAGGAAAATGATGCTCATTAGTAAATCCGGCTGCTCCACTAGATTAGTTGGAGGGAGGACGGGAGCCCCAAGAGTACACTGCCAGAATGAGTGTCTTCCCAGGGTCTCTGGGTACTAAGCTGGGTTCAGTAAAATGCCACTGGTCTCAGTGCGCTACAGATTTATAGAAATGTGGGTCAGAGATCTCCTCTGTTCTGTATTTTAAACTCTCCCCTTTACCTCCCTGGCTAAGCAGCCCAGCATCAATCATGCTTCAGCCGGTTTACCAGTACCTCAATTATATTGGTGGAGACTTTCAGAGGTTGTCTATGCAGACAAGTGCCCTAATATTTCCAGGTGTCCATTTGCCTGAGGGCTACCCTCACTCACATACTCTACAGCCAAAAGCAACCTGGAGAAACAGCTACTAAAGGCATTTGATCATAAGATTCAAAAGTTGGAAGGGACCTTGGAAATCACCTACTTCCCTAATTTTATGGATGAGGAAACTGAAACCTAGAGAAGGGAAGCAACTGCTCCATTTAGTGACCAAAGACCTAGGATTTGACTCCAAATCTAGTGCTCTTTCGCCTCTCTCAGGATGACTAAGGATCATAGCGTTGAAAAAGATCTTAAATGTCATCTTGCCCAACAGCCCCATTTTACAGATGAGGAAACTGAGGATTGGAGAAGTTAGCTGGGATTAAAACCTAGGCCCAAATCTATCTGTACCCTAACTACAAAAGAGCAGACGTGAGCTGTCTGTATCAAGATGGGAAAACTGTTCCACACCTGCTCCAAAAAGGAAAACGTAGGCCTTTGTCCAGTCATACTTTCCCTAGATAGAACCATTGCCTAAAGACTAGAGTGTGCAAAAACACCAAGCATTTCAAGAACACTCATAAGGAGCTCATATTGGGGCTGGTTTTCCCAGTGACCCAGAGAACAATTTTTTTTAACTCAGTGGCCCTGGCTCCTGTTTTTTAATCTTCATCAAATCATCAATCATCCAAAGAAAGCAAACTTAGAGATCATCTTGGCCACCATCCCTCCTCCCCACCCAGATTAAAGTGGCTACAAGCAGAAGTCGGGACATATTTCTCACCAGGTTTTTCCCAGGAAAGGTCTCGGGGCATTAGCAGGTGACTTAAAGAACAAAAGGAAGGCATGGAGTTAGTTTTATCCCAAGATTACCCCCACCTCCCTCCCCACCTATAATCACCATTTTCGAAAGGTGAGAATTTATGTTCTTCCCACAAGATCTGTGTGTTGGACTGAATCTTCAGATGGTAGTAATCTGCAGACGCAAAGCTGTCCACTTCACCTTGGCACACACACTCCTGGGGTAAGGTGGCTTTGCTGTCTCTCTGGTTCTTAGGACTGCATCTCTGAGATCTGCAAATCACATGATTTAGGAGTCAGGTCATCTTAAATCTTCCGGGGACAGACCGCTACCAGGCAAAGAATCCCCCTACTCCCTGCCCTTGCATGAAGGGACTCAGAGTAGCACAGTGGAAAGAGCATTAGTCAGAGGGCCTGGGTTCAGATCCTGCCGATGATACCTATGACCTATGTGACCTTGGACAAATTCCTTGACCTCTCTGGGCCTCAGTTTCTTCATCTGTAAAATGAAGGTGTTGGACTAGAATTAGATGGATTCTGAGTTTCTTTTAGGCTCTAATTCTATGATCTTACAATCTATAACCCCCTCATTTTACGGAAAGTAATAAACTAATGTTTACTGAGCTAATGAACTTTCCCAAGGTCAAAAAGGTAGCAAACGGCATTAAGGAATAAAATTCAAGTCCTCACATCTGCTTCCCTTATGTGAGCCACATTCATATGTCCACAATCCTACCAGCTTTTTGTATATATAACGAAGCTGTTAGAAGCTGTTCCCTGCTTACGAAGGCAAGGGGAGGGACTGAACACTACATTTAGTGTAGCTATGCCTCACAGGCCACCTGGGCCATCTTCTCGCCATCTGCTTTGCCACTGTGAGTTTACTGTCCTACCCTTCTCCCTCCCTACGCCTTCCTCCATTTGCTTTCCAGCTCTCGAACCATATCCAAATCTAAACGGCCACTGCTACTAGAAAGGGCCTGCCAATCAACTTCCCCAAGACTCCACTTACCATGCCTTTGACTTCTCAAACCAAAGCACCCCCTTCCCTGGCTACCACTCTCCTATATATGTTGTCTTCTCCTCCTGTTAGAATCCAAATTCCTTTAGAGCAGGTACTGTCTTGCTTTTGTATGTATAAAACCAGCACTTAGCAAAGTGCTAGGCACATATTAACCCTTAATAAATGGTTTCGCATTCATTCATTTAATTATCCTGGCTGTTTCCCATACCTTTGATGCTGGAAGCAAGAAGGGTATTAGAGTTCATTTAGGATCTAAATAAAATGTGTGGCCCTCATCAAACACACAGCCCTCCTTTGGGCTGCCTTGGTGTGGAAATGACAAAGATCCAGGCATTCTTACTTAATCTCTAAAAGGAATTATCAGAGTTTGACATAACTTGGGTAACTGGTAACTGAAAGCTGGTGGCATCCTTCACCCGGAATTCCTCTTCCCTTGTTCTTGTTCCCTTAAGCCTTAGCTTTTGGATGTCTTGAGTTGAGACTTTTGTCTTCTCTGATGTGAATTAAAATGTGCCATAATAGAAGACTGCTTTCTGCATTATTGAGTTGTCTGTGGCAGCCAGGTGGCACAGTGAACAGAGTGCTGGGCCTGGAGTCAGGAAGACCTGAGTTCAAATTTGGTATCAGATACTAGCTATGTGACCCTGGGCAAGTCACTTAAGACTTCTGCCTCAGTTTCCTCAACTGTAAAATGAGAATAATAATAGTAGTTACCTCACAGAGTAATCGTAAGGATAATATGACATAATATTTGTAAAGTGCTTTGCATGGTGCCTGGCATATAGCAGGTGCTTAATAAATCTTGTTCCTCTTCCCTTAAGTGAAAGCTCCTTCAGTCCCTACACAGGGAAGGGCCTAGGGCAGGGGATTACGATAGTGACAATTAGCCTTTAATTGAGCTCCACACTAAATCCCAGCTGTGCCTGGTCAACACCTGTGTTTGGAGACCAAACAATGAAAGCTTTTTAGCTTGTGTGAAACCACACAAATAATCTTTCCAAGACATTAAGAACTCTTTCTAATTGAGGCAGGATTGTGCAATGGAAAGCGTATTAGCTCTGTCAGAAGACCCAAAGGACCTGAGTTCAAATCCCACCTTGGATATTTACACACACAGATGTGTGACCTCAGGCAAGTCATTTAATCCCCTATGGGCCTCGGCTTCCTCAAAAAGATGAGGTTGGACCAGAATGCCTTCGGGGTCCCTTCCAACTCTAGCTCCATGACACTCACACACAAAATAGGGCTGATACGTGTCCTGGGAAAAGACTATTTCCTACTTTAGGAGCAATACCCCATACACCCGACACATTCTGAACAAGGGGATCTTGGATCCAGCCTCTAGACTTATTGTGGGGTACAGACCTAGTGGAAAGTACGTGCTTTTGCCAGAGTGTGTATGTCTATTCTTGTTACAGTTATTATTATTGTTCTTGTAATCACTGCCACAGGCTGTATCACCTTCAGTGATTTAACTCTTCTGGACCTCAGTTTCCTACTGTGTAAAATTAAGGGGTCACCCTTTAATGCTTACAAAGCACTTTTCTTGACTAAATGATCAATAGGGTTCCTTCTGATTCAACTTTGCCACTCAATTCAATGAGCATTTATCAAACACAAGCATGTACAAGGCTGTACCTTACAAGGCACTTGGAATTCAGACAGCACGATTCCTGCCCTTAATGCTTACAGTCTAATAGAGAAATATGGCATGTACACAAATAAACAGGATGAGACGGGATGTAATAGGGGCAAAGGAGAGCCAGGCAAAGTTCTAAAAAAATTTAAAGATAGGTTTTAACCCGATGTGTGCATATGTGTATGTTTATGTGTGTGTGTGCGTGTGCGCGCGCGTGTGTGTGTGTGTGTGTGTGTGTGTGTGTGTGTGT